GAGTCCAAATCCGACAAATCGTTTTGGAAAACTGATTTTTATAAAGAAGTGCCAAACATGGATTGCTTTGCCAGATACAGAGTCTCCACCTAAATATTTAATTTTGGGGGAATTGAGGAAACCCTGACTCGTGCCTACGGCCACGTGTCCGTCATCACCAAAGTTGCCTCGGCTCGGGAACTTGGTTACGAGAGGGGAAGGTCATGCAATGAGCACCGCCGCTCGCCCGATCAAAAGATCGGCCTTTACTAAGCATAATATTTTGTTTTTGAACACACATGTGTTCTTATTCTGGTTATTAACCTAGAATTACTATGTTATGTGCACAGCATACAAGTATAGACTAGATTGCCCAAGTTGGAACAAAACATTGCATATTCATTTGTGAAAATGATTTTGAAGTTTGCTACTCGTAAGTAGGCTAAGATGAGGATTTCGATGAATTGTTCCAATCAAGCAATCCAACCTTAACAAAACAATGCATGTTCATTTGTTTGAAAATGGTTTGAAGTTTGCTACTCACAAGTAGGCTAAATCACGGATTTCAATGAATTGTTCCAATTCAAGTAATCCAACCTTCACCCACAGGCATTCAGGCAGTTAAACACTTAAGCTGTTAGCCTCATCACAAGCATGCTAAACATGGAAATCAATAACACACATGCAGTATGCTAAAGCATAAACACTCAAAGTGTACTCCGAACCAAAACAAAGAACTAGTTAGAAATCATGCATGATCCTAGCTCATGTTAAGATGGCTAATGCAACACATGCAAAAATGTAACTAAAATAGGCTCGGCTATTCTAGAATGACATATGAAATGCACCTTGATAACATGTTGTTGAGCACGTATTCAAGTAAATGTATTGAAATACAATGCAGTTAGTATGATGCGTCGAGCCCGATGCATGCAATACAGATGAATGGATGCACGCATGCAAGCATAAGGTATGCTAATCGAAATATGCCCTAAAACAAACCATCGTAAGCGGTTAAGTAAAAGGGAGAAAGAAATGGAGGTTGGAAGACATGCATCACACACACGCACGCTTATTACAACATTGTGCCCTCTCGACGGAGGGTCCGAATAAGAAGCTAACTAGCTAATATAAGCTAATTAAACTAATTATTATACAACAAAGCTAATTAACTAACAAGCTAACTAATTAAGTTATTACAACACAAATAAGCAGCTAAACGCATTAACTACTTAAATACAGAACCAAAGCATAAACTAGCTAAGGAAAGCAGTAAAAGGGGTCCTCAGAGGGGGAAAAGTGCATGCATGCCCGGTAGCCTCGTTCGGAAATCCGTCGCGATGCCCCAACTTGCCTCTGTTTGCAATTATTCTTAGAACCTTGTACCAAGCTCCAGAAAGCTTCTAACTCACCTTGGTGACCTGTGGGAGGGCTGCCGACCACCTAGAGGTGTTTCCAGCCACTGGCCGACCACTTTTTGTTGCTGCAAACCAGAAAAAGTGGTCGGCCAGCTAGTTTTTCTGGCTGGTCGACCAGTTGTTGCACTTCTCCAATTTGCTGCAACAGAGAGCAAGAAAGGGCATGGCAATGTATTTGCAAGATATGTGTGCATAACCGCCCTCCCTATCATTTCATGATCTCAAGGGAGTGCGGTTCTCGACCCTCGGGCCACCAATCGCGCATTTCAATGCATGATGGCCGAGAGGCAAAGTTGCACAATCAATATTAAATGAATGCACACATAAACACATAAATGCCTAGAACTCTATCATGCATGATCAAGAGCATCGGCGACCGAGAATTAAGGCACGTTTCATCACTTCAAGTATGAAACGTCCCTCGTTTCTCGTGTTTGGACTAACACCTAATCCAAACAAAATGCAACAACATGCAACATGGAAATGCAATGTAATTTAAGCATGCAAACATGCAATGCAAGGGACAGGTATGCAACAACGTGCAATGCAACATGGTATACTCGATGCAATGAATAACATGGCATACTCAATGCAATGTGATTATGGCATACACAATGCAAACAAGAACATAGCATGCACAATGCAAACAACAACATAACATGCACAATGTGATGTAACATGGCATACACAATGCTCAATAGACTTAAACCGAATGTGGGTAAACCTCAGCCATGCCCAAAACAGTGGCCATAATGCTAAAACAAAGGCACAAAAAGGCAAGACATGCATGCTCAATCCAATGGCCTATCAACTAGGCCTAAGAACACATAATCTCACAAAGTGCAATGTAAGACTGATAAACACCAAAGAGTCCAATTCGACATATCATTTTGGAAAATCAGATTTTGAATCAAATAATGCCAAAACTGGACTACTTTGCCAGATTACAGAGTCGCCA